GTGCTTGTTTTTCTCTAGGTTTTAAAAAAAAGTTATGCTCACCCGAACCGCTGAGTCAGCTGCCTACACTGCAGCATTGGAATGTTCCTCAGTCTCCTTATGTCAACACACTGTGTATAAAACGTGATGATTTACAGGACATTAGACCGGGACGAGAGAGAGAGGCTCCAGGGACAGGGCTAAGAGCAAGCTGGCTCGGAGGATCAGGTGAGTATAACTTTTTTTAACCTAGACAAAAGGAAGCAGTCGGTAGCCCCACTGCAAAGGTTAATACAAATTCTGCCCAGAGTTCTGCTTCAATCCATCATCCTCAGATTTTTTTTATGTCATACAATGTGCAATTGTACAATGTGCTGTCACAGCTTGTGATGCTAGCCATTATTTTAATCTCAGTTAATATATAATGCCATATTTGCTATAATGATGTCACAGTCAGTATAATACTGGAAAGAGAAAACAGAAGCACAGGATCTTTTAATGGTATCAGTTTTGTCAGAAAGAGGTGAAACAAAATCAGAATATGCTTACCTTTAGAGTGTCTGAGGTACACCTGCATGGGATTGGTACTCTTAGAGAATATTGATACTCTTAGAGAATATTGATACTCTTAGAGAATATTGATACTCTTAGAGAATATTGATACTCTTAGAGAATATTGGTACTCTTAGAGAATATTGGTACTCTTAGAGAATATTGATACTCTTAGAGAATATTGATACTCTTAGAGAATATTGGTACTCTTAGAGAATATTCCTCATTTGTTTGGTCTCCTAGATGAAACTCCTAAGTCATTTATTTTATTAGAAGTAAAAAAGAATCTAATAAAAGAAATACTTAGGCGTTTCTAATAAAATAAATTACTTAGGAGTTTAATGTAGGAGACCAAACAAATGAGGAATGTACTCGAAGAGTACCAATCACATCATCCAAGGGTAAATAGTACAGTTGGAATATTCTCACCAAGTAGAATGGTACACATGTGTGCACAACACCATTGGCCCTTTAACTGGAAGATTCCCTCTTTGGGGGGTATTGCTGGGACCTTTAATCCAAGAGCCGGCTCGTCAAACAAATGACAAATCCCCTCTAGGAGCGTCATTCACATCATCTAAAAGCGAAAAGCATAATTAGAAAGGCTCACTAACAGCTTTTTTCACAGAAGGGTGAAGAGTTTGGAGAAGGCCGGAGAAGTGAACAATCTAGGACAGGGGGTAGCAAACCTCCGGCCCTCCAGCTGTGGTGGAACTACAAATCCCATGAGGCATTGCAAGATTCTCACAGCCACAGACATGACTCCTGAAGAGAGATGCATCATGGGATTGTAGTTTCACCACAGCTGGAGGACCGGAGGTTTGCTACCCCTGATCTAGGACAACTTAGCTGAACTGGAAAGTTGGCTGAATTGGAGAATGTTTCCAAATCAGCTATGTTGCCCTAGATTGCTCACTTCTCCTGCCTTCTCCAAACTCTTCACCCTTCTGTGAATAACCCTGTTAGTATTGTGGCTAGGCACTTCTATTTTGTGAACCACAACAACAGCAGTTGTATATCAGGATTGTCTCAGAGAGAGAGATAAATCATGTAGAAAAATTGAGAAAGTTTCACAAAATAATTTTAAAAATAAAATAAAATTGGCTGAATAGAATATTTTCAATCCAGGACTTCTGATTAGTGCATGAAAAATGTAAATAACTATTTGTGTATATGCAGTATATCTTTTTTTTTTTAAATATAAAGAATCAATAGATTGCAGATACAATTCAAACCCCATTTATTAATGTTGTTTATCTAGGACTAGGTTAGTGCCAAATAGATGAGGATGCGGGGTAAGGGTAATCACCCCTTATAAAGGATTATTCAAAATAACCCTTATTTAAATTGATGAAACTCAGCACAGTAAATCCTTGTGTTGATGCATTAAATGATCCAAATTAATGTAGAGATAGGCCTAGAGCCAGGAAACGAAGGGGGAATGAGCAGAGGGCCTGCCTGACAATGATGGGAAGGGGAACCAGGGCAGGCATGGGTTAAAGAAAGATAGAAAGAGTAAGGTGGGGAGGGGCACTTACCGGATTGGGTAAAAGAGTTTAGCTAGGAAGTGCTATGGATGGATTTGATAAATGAATGGGGGGGGGGGACCCATCTTTGGTGTGGGTGTCCTCCATTTGTTGAAGTCGGTTGCGACCAGGTAATAGTCAAGGTCAATTAAGGTCAATTAATAACGCCCCTGAGGCAGTGTATGGTGGCTGGGGGCATCAGGTACAAAATGTGGCTGCAGATGCAAATATGTTTTATGGTTCATAGTGCCTTCAAGGACCTGAAAGCTGAGATTTTATACTGGAAGTCTGGATATTTGTTGCGGTTTGTTTTTTATCAATGTTATTTATACTGTTTTTGGCTAATAAAAGGCTGCTGTGACCATTGAACTCCATCCGATGGTGTGATGGTATTATTTAGTACACGGGATGATTTGGGGGTTGAGGTGGTAAAAGTGTCTCAAGTGGAGAAAGGGGACCTCTGAGCTACCGAAGTCATGTTTTATTGCCACTAAACCTTTGCCATGTATTGTACAGTATTGGAAAATAATGCCTCCAAGGCTATTTATGAATAGGTTTGATCCCAAAGAATCACTTGTAGTTTCAAAAGTAGATCAGTCTTATATTTTGTACAGGATGGAAGACTGACCACAAGATGGAGATGTGCATTAATATAAAGGGATAATGTCAAGAAGGTTGAATCAATGGTCTTGCAAAGAAGCCGGTGTGCACACATGCACATATTGTGACAAGTGTCCCTGTGTTTAGGGTTGCTATGGAGACAAACACAGCTTACTAGCACACACTAGGGTGGCTCCATAGAACTCTGCCTGAGAAAGGAGCCACCCTGAAACAGGATAGTGCACAGTGAACCAGCTGATTCTGCAGGAAATTAAAATGTTAAAACATCAAGGAGCAGCATTCATTGTAAGTGATTTCATCAGCATTTTAATAGCTTAAAACCCTTTTTAACTTTAATATCACTTTAAGTTAAAACAACACAAGGAACAATGTCCATGTTGCTGTGATTAGTTGCTTCCTGTTCATTACCCTTACTCCTGTATTGTTATGATTACACTTGTATTATTAATGCTGCTTAATACCAACACAAGCTCTGTTGTGGCATCAAATACACCACAGTGATGATCCAGCCGATCTTCATTGATAGTGATGAAACTGCAGTTATACAAGTGTATTGCAGTCGTTATGTCTGTAATTCGGAATTCGGATACATCCGAATGTCCGAATTTACGAAAATTCGTCCGAATTTCGATTCGGAACGAAACGAATCGCACATGTCTATATTCTAGCATTGGTGCAAAGCAAACTGTAAACTCTAATGAAAACACTACCATTTACCCAACACCTAAATCTGCAGCAGGGGCGGACTGGCTCTCTCTCTGTATAATGTATTATTACTGGGATTTGTAGTCCCCTATACAGTGCAATGCAGAATACCACCAGCTATATAGAACTACAAATCCCAGCAATAGTACATTATAGCTAGAGGTTTTCTGTGTAGTTCTCTATGGCTGTTGGTAGTCATTATTGCTGGGATTTATAGTCCGCTATAGCTGATGGTATTCTGTAGTTCTCCATGGCCAATGCCATTCTGCAATGCTGTACAATGTATTTCTGAGTTAGTGGCAGAACTACCAGGGGTCGCAGCAGTCATGCACGCGCACAGCCCTGACAAGGCATCCCTCCACTACCAGTGTGCTTTACATTTCCTAAACCGATAAATACATTCACACTACTGTTACATGGATGGCAAAAGTGGCAGACGGGCGGGGAGAATGCAGGGAAGAGGCAGAGCGGGAGGGGGGCCAAGTTGCTGCACCATGGGCCTCTGGGTTGTACTTGCCCCCTGGGCTAAAAGTTGCCAGTCAGCCCCTGATCTGCAGACACAATAACAATGGAACTCATTAACGAGTGTCTAAAAAGGGACCTCCTTTTCATTCTTTAACCTTAATTTTCCAACGCAGGTTTCAGTATGGCCCTATGAGTAAACACGGATGGCCTTATTTAGTAAAGATTATGCACATGCACCATACACTGATGACCAAATTGTATCCTCTTGGTATTTTCTATACACTTATGCTGCATCTGGACACACACAGTTTACAGGGTGTGTGTGATCAATCAGCTGTATTTTTCTGTTTACTTATAATGTAAGTTATTCAATAGGGACAAGTGCTTATTAGACTCTGCATAACCTGTGCCTTTAATTGGACCACTATGACTGAGTCACCGCACAATTAATAATTAGTTTGGATTTTGCTCTAAAGGCTGTCTTAGTTTTAACACTTATTTCATGGAATACAAAGTATTCATCTTAAAGCCACATATGTGGACAAACAGTATTGTATGAATGAATTCTAAATTTACAGAGTAAAACCTAATTTCCTGTGTTATTAAGTGTTCAGCTTAATACTAATATAGGTAAAAGGAGAACTATGGGGTTAAGTCTTTTCCCCATAGTTCTCCTTAGGGTAACGGGAGGACACAAACTAGCGTCCTCCCGCCACCCTAGGCTCAGTATACCGCGAGCTGAGACGCCGCAGCTGAAACGGATCCCGACAATTATGTCTGGATCCGCCCAGCTGCGTGAGTGACAGCTGGCTCTGCCTATCTAGAGGAAGAGCCAGCTGTACCCGCCCCCTCCCCCGTCCGTTCCGCCAGTCAGCGCTGGTGGAGCGGGGAATCCAGCCCCTCCCCTGTCATGGCAGAGAGCCGTGACAGGATCGAGAGGTGAGGGAACCCGGTATGTGTTCGCTCACCTCCCGATCTACTGAGCCGACCTGTGACAGTCTCATTGTCACAGGTCGGCTAGAACTATGAGGTGAGTGAAAAGCACTCACCTCATAGTTCTCCTTTAAGTCATTAATGAATTGTTATTAGTGTTAGTTTGTATCGCCTGGGTGGAACACCACCCACTGGGATGCACTTTGCTCTTCTTCATGGCTGGCTACCTCCAGGAAAGAAAACTATATGTTTTACAAGCATCTGATGTTTTTGTAGCAGGTGTAATTTGAACAAGTTGCTCATAATGCGGAGTACCTCTGCTTTTTACCTTTATTGATGCAAGCACTGCTGTTTATGACTTATTTGATGCTATTTGAAAATAATTAATCATGACCGGAATGCAGATTTTTGCTTTGATATTTTGTATCTCTGGCACTGGGGCTGTAATTGGGGCAGTTGTGTCTAATGAATGGAAAGTGACCAGCAGAGCCAGCTCTGTCATTACAGCCACTTGGGTTTTTCAGGGGTTGTGGATGAACTGTGCAGGGAATGCCCTTGGCTCATACCACTGCCGACCCCACCTAACCATCTTCCGGGTAGAAGGTAAGCAGAACTTCATGTTTTCATTTTTTTTTCTGGTTATTGTGGTCTTTTGTTTCAAGTTTGTTTATTTATTGTAACTTTTACTGCATGTAACGATAGAGAGAAGTATTTATGCAAATCGGATCGAGATCTATCTATCTATCTATCTATCTATCTATCTATCTATCTATCTATATATATATATATATACAGTCGACCCCCCTGAAATCTGCGGGGGGTTAGGTTCCTAGAGCACCCACAAATTGTGAAAAACTGCGAATTTTAAATGTGGTCAAAAAAATTCCTATTTTTATCGTTTAAACCCTAAATATGTCCCCAAAACACTTTCATTTCACTTCAAACTCAGCTTAATACATTACCCTTAAAAAAAAAAGAATGTAAAGGTAAACCTGTATACTGTATAGTACTGCTATGTCTCCCGCAGTGCTAGAATGTAAAATACCGCTGTGCAGTACGATGAAGGTATTTGTCGGCCGGCCAATGGCCGGCCGCTCGGCCAGCTTCGTCTTTCAGCACGTCTCAGCGCTCGACTGAGCCGCTCGGCCGTGATCGGGAGCTGTACGGGCTATTGTGAATACCCCGTACAGCACCCCCTCGGTTCTCCTGAACCGAAGGGGTCCTGGGGCCGAAGCTAGCCGAAGGATCGGCCGAAGCTACGGCCAGATCCTTCGGCAGCTTTGTGAATAGACCCCATAGTTACATAGCATTTGAGGTTCAATAAAGACACAGGTCCATCAAGTCCAAACTATTGCGTGTGTGCATTTATGTTTGATCAGATGTGTGCGTGTATATGAGTCCATGTGTGATTTTGCTCTTAAGAGTACTTGTACCCCTTTATGTCACGGTCTCAAGGAACTCGTCCTTGTAGACCCGTATGTAATGAAGATAATGACTGCACAGCAAAGCAGAGGATTTACAGCACCTCGGGTGGCGCCTCTTCTTCAGGTGTTCAGGAGGAGTCATATCTTCTGATAGGTCGTCTTCTGGTGGGGTTTCGTGCTGGCTTTTCTTGATAGGTTTGAAGAACATTGTTCTAAGGAAAAATCCGCGAACGACTGAGGCCACAAACTCTGAACCGCGACTTTGCGGGGACGACTGTGTGTGTATGTATATATACTGTGATATATATATATATATATTTGAAAATACGGAAACAAAGCCAAAATCTAGTTAACACTTTCAGTTCATGCTGGTGCCTTCCATTTTTGTTGTGTGGAACTGGGAATTTTCCATGCTGTTCTATGCCTGGATAGTGAAAAAAAAATAAACATTCAAAATGATTGCACTGTAAGTGAATATTGTTTTATTTCATTGCATTATATTACATTATAACCTAAAACTGGGCAGTACAAGACTTGGGGAAAATATGCTATTTTAAATTAGTGAATGGCTAATAGTGAAAATGTTCTGCTCTTGGAGGTAGAATTATTTTAATCACATTATAGACAATTAGCAAAAATGATTTGTACCCGCCCTCTGCTGATGGACCTGATGGAGAACTGCAGCAGAGGGCGGGTACAATGCTAGTTTACTATTGGCTATGGCAAATTGAAATAGCCAATAGGAATGTAGCAATGTATTTAAATGGGAAAAAATTATTATTATCGAAGGATCGGCCGAAGCTATGGCTAGATCCTTCGGCAGCTTCGTGAATAGACCCCTTAGTGTTTCAGCAGCAATTTTGTCAGCGCCTCACTTTTCTCTGCAAAGCTGTGATCTGGCTTCTCTTTCTGAGTGACTTTACATTTAGATCCTAGGTAATCATTGGTAATCCAGATACTGTACGGATAAGCATATATTATCTAAAATTTTAGACTTACCTGTAACTTTGGTTTTCTGGAAGGCGCAGCAGGGATCTTCACCTCCTTTTTATTATTTCCCATATTACCTTTTCTAGTGCTGTGCAGTGTTAGATTTGATCATACGGGTTATTTAGAAAGCAGACTCTGACATTTTACATTTAAATGTACCAGATATTGATGACTTTGAATCCCTTTTAACCCTAATGCTTTTCTTTCTCGCAATTCATCAAAGAATGGTAAGTGGGGAAAACATTATTAAAAAGCACCAAAAATTATTTTTTTTTAAACATTGAAAATTGATTAAAATCATTTGAAAACAATGCCACCCTGATAAAAGTTTCTAGTCTAGCTTCCCTTTCTTCAGAAAGGAATCTGCTTTTTCAGAAGTAAAAGGAAGTCATACGCTAATATCACTAGTTTAGAAATACATTAAATCCTTTAAGAAAATAGATCTTGTTGTGTTAATAATGAGGTCACAATAAAAACTCATAAAACAGCAGAGAAAGAAATACTGATGACTTTTTATAAAAGGTGTAACACTGAAATTCAGGGAAAACAGTAGCAACATTTTAGCATTTTATTTTCTCAAAGTAAATATTCCGTAAGCCCTGGTTCACATCTAGGCGTTTTTGAGCAGTTCGAAAAGTGCTTTTATCTGTCCAACACAAGAAATCCCATGATTTTCAATGGCCCTGGTTCAAACCTCTAGCAGGAAAACGGCAGAAGCCTGAAAAGATACAGGAGCTTCTTTTGGCAGTTAAAAGCGCTTCTTTGCCCCATAAACTTCATTGGAAATGCCCAAAAGCGCACAACAGAAGCATGTCACACATTTTCGTGAGCGTTTTTGCTCGTTTATACGCACATTCTTCCATTTCCTACAATGGTTTATGAGCTGCCAATCAAAACGCGCGTCTTCAGGAATGGGCGTTAAAACGTACACACAAATGTGCACAATGCGCAAATAACCGCATGCTGCTAACGCGCAAAAACGGTGCCATTTAGGTGTGAACCAGGGCTTAGGAAGATGCTAGCATGCTGCTCTTCTAGAAAATTACATTAGAGATTAGGAGGAACAAAACTCAATACTAAAGGAAACTGACAACTTTGAGGCGTGCTACCTGGTTAGTGAGTGGCCAGTTAATGGGGTAGTTGTGTTGGGTTGAGCAAAGTCTTATGATAATTAAGTAGGAGCTGACTTAGTATATCTAGAAGGAATGGCAAAAAGACATTTAACTAGTCGATTGAAGATGGCAGAACAGTGTTGCCAAATCTTTACTACCACTCCTTTAAGACATGAGTATAGCCCATCTCATAGTGGTTAGGGTTGTAACACCTAGAAAGGGAGTGGTGATCAAGGATTCCTTCCACTGGAAGTTGGATAAAATACTTTTTCTCAAGGCATATTATAAGTGAATGGTTTGCTGCCTTCCTGCTGTCAGGGGTTGCCATTTGTTGGACAAGGAAAGGCTCAAAGTGACCCTGTTGTCTTGGTGAATCCTGGAATTGATGACAACATTTATGGAAGGTGAAGGATCCTTAAGAATTGTTTTAGAGAATTAGGATGTAAGGAAGGACCTCAAAGGTTGTATTCTCTAAAGCATATCCGCCGTGTGTTTGTTGTGTCCAACCCAGTAAAGACAGCAGGAGCTTTAAAAGCTAAATTCATGGCTGGAAGAGGGAAAGATCTGAGTTTCTAGAGTACTGGACTGACCTTATTGTGGTAAGGCCAATACACTAAAGATGGTGCACCTAAATGGACAGAGGTCTGCTCTTTTAGGAAAGAGGGTTTTGGGACGATTGGACGGATGTTTAATTAATTTAAAAAAAAATAGATAAGAGAGGGACCAGGCACTACTGCAACATGAAATTGGATTGGATGGGGGTTAAGACATGGCAGCTGATAAAGAATGCTGTGCATTACAAATACATATTAAATAATGAGGCTCAAATGGTGCTACAAAAAATATGCATTGCAACTCTTTATGCAAAATATAATGGCAGGTTAAAGTGACACTAAACTCAGGAGTTAAATCTTAAAAGTGCATTCAAGTACCTTAACATAAAATGTATCTTATTTGTGCATCACTCAGCTGTACATCCTCAAATCATCTCTGCATTGGTGCTGACACTGTCCTTCCTTCTGGATGGTGGCTGCTTTTGTTCCTCATGGTCCCTGTGTGTATTGTAAAGTAAGCAGCACTCCAAGCTGTCTCCTGTGATGGACTACAATCTCAATACAAATTAGTAAATTAAACATGACATTGTAGTCCATCACAGGAGTGATCTTGGGGCGGTGGCTTTTTTTACAACCCACACAAGGATCATGGGAAGCAAAAGTAGTCACCCTCCAGAAGGAAGGACAGTGTCAGCACCAATTCAGAGATGATTTGAGGATCTACAGCTGAGTGATACACAAATAAGATACATCTTTGTTAATAGTTAAGGTACCTGAAATCATTTTTAAGATTTAACTCCTGAGTTTAGTGTCACTTTAACAGCGTTTTTGAACAAAATCAATCACAGTGAAATCCTACTTCAGTAACTGTCTAAATTAATTGATAGAACAATGACAGGTTTGGTCAGGATACAGAATCTTATTTTGGCATGTACTGTAGCTGTCCCTAAAAGTGTTTAATGGTAATTAAACTCTATGGCCCAAGCCACATTGACCTTTTTCCCTAACTCGCGTGAAGGGTTATTAGTAAGTAATTCCAGTGAAAGGTGAATGCTTGAAGGCTTAGTCATTGAGGTAATTATTAATCAGCCTATACACTGTAGTATATGAAGAGGAAATGTTCTAGTTTTCTACTACCAATATGCTACATGTACAAAGTGCACGTATCCATTTTCTCACTTCTCATGACTTGAACTAATTACCCCTTCCTGATGCATTCTTACCTCTATCTGGCAGGCCGGGCCTCTGGTGTTGTCTTACATCCCAACCTAAAAATCTCCTGTGCACTGATTATGCCCACACAGTAGCTTCCCATAGGCTTCTATGAGACCATCTCCTGAGCATATCCAGGGATGTCTCTAAGATAAGAACTGGGAAGGCTAAACAGGCTCTTTGATATAACAATGAAAGTGAGCAGAGCATGCGGGACAGCTCTGAATTTCTTAAACGATCGCACGATCAACAGTTTTTTGACACTTATAAAACAGATACAACAAAATGCCCTCAATGACAGACTGAAAGGG